CCCCAAAACCCCAAAACCCCAAAACCCCAAATAGGTATTAAATCCTTGAAATTATTATTAATCGCAAAATGGAACCAACTCCCTCACAGAACCCAACCCAAGCAGATTATGTAAGAAGCAGAATGACTTCTTTCGAAACCTGGCAGAGAACACGATCTTTATGAGTATTCCCTCGGAGTCCACGACTAGCCAGACCTGGAGAAGACACAAGGCGGTCGCTTGTAAAACAGAATAGAATTGAAGCAAATAAATGAGAAGAAAAGAAAGGCATACAGGTAACAGACTATGCAAGAGAGAGTTGATTAGCATATAGATAAGCGAACAAGATAATAAAAACGACTCTCTCGCTCCCAAATCTCCATCCTCCTCATCCTTCAAAACCTGGCTTCTATCATGCCCTCTCTGAAAATCAGAGCCGATGAAAACCTGCACATCGTGCAGGTTTTGCGGCTTTTATGCTTGAGAGGGGTGCTGGACAGAGGCTTTGGAGAAGGAAGAGAAGTGATTTAGGTGAAGGAAGGGGCTGAAGAGGAAGGATTTGGTGAAGAATTTGATGTATGGGAGGATTAGGGAGGAAGAGGTGAGTTTGGAGGGGAGGTTGAGGAGGAAGATGGTGAGGAAGTGACCGGAGCATGGGGAGGAAGGGAAGTTGTTTTGAGAGAGGTGTGAGGGGTTTGTGTGCTTGGAGTGAGTGAGGGAGGATACTCATGCTGGGCATGATTTTTTAGATGTGGAGGAGAATAGGGAGGTTAAGGAGAAATTATTAGGAATTGTTGAATTTTGTAGAGAGCTTGAAAAGGGATGAGAGTTGCTAGATATGTTGATACAGGAGCATTTACAATTTCTTGATATTAAACCTCTCTCACAAGAAGGTTTAGACTTTTTAATTAAAGGAAAAATTGATTCATGAGAAAACAAAAGTATCTTAAAAAGAGCTCTTGAAGATATTCTAGAATCCGAGATTTCCCTCCATACAGAAGCAGAGAAAGAACTAAAAAATTTCCAAGAGATTGTCAAAGATATAATAAACCTCAGCCTTAAAACCACTGAAATCGATAAACTCATTTAAAAAACTAAATGAAAGCCTAGACGACAAAGATCTCCCAAACATCAAAACTTTAATAACCCCTAAAAGTAAGCAATCCACCTCTACACCCCTATAAACCCCCACTCTTCTCTCTTAACCCCCTTCTAGCCCCAAAATTCATCAAAAAGTCCCTCTCAGACCAATTCATGCTAACCTCAGAATACACCCAAGAACCCTCCTTCACAATCTTCATATCCACCTTCCTCACTCAACACTCATCATAATTCCACCCCCACCCACTCCCCAGGGGTTTTGGGGTTTTGGGGTTTTGGGG